AAGAGAGCCAGGCTGAACAGGAAAACCACATTTATATGCCAACAAGGAAATATGTTTGGGTTCATTTTTTTCAGAAACAGAAATTCACTGTGTTATCCACAAGAAGTTAATATTAGTAGTATTAGATCTTACAGTGACTTTACTGTTATTTCATGGTATTTTAGTATCTTATTATATTATTCCTATTATATTCCGTTCAGGGTGTGTAGCATATTTGTATTATTATGACACATCTATTGAAATGGACTGTAGGATTAGTGTACTGTGGTCGTCTTTACGCATGACTGGAAGGCTACTGAAGGACGATGTGGATCTGCAAACATCTGTAACACACTCGGATCAGCAATCTGTGCGTGCTTTCACAAATAAACACAGTAATACTATCTTGTCTTTATCAGCGTGCATACATTCGCACATAATAATCAACTTCTGCGACATTGGAGCGACAACTTTTGAATGTATTCATGATGGCAAACCAACCAACGCCACGGAAAAGTCTTCTAAATATCCAACTAACCACTCAGTGACAGATGATAAAAATGTAATTAGTCTACAAATAAGGAAAAACAAATACTGATAGACATCGGACAAATATTCATCACTGTGGTAAAATGTTTGGACGTTTTTACTGAAAAACTCCAATTAGTATTCTCGCTGATGTGGACTTTTCATTTCGGGAAAGGAGGTGGACATTTTTTAGCCGGGGGAGTGAATGAAGGCATTCACAACATTCAGGCAACAGACGAAATGAATCCACTGCTGGTGCTTTAAGGCAACAGACTGCTTGCACCTGCACACAAAGAAAAAATTTTGATTTTGCATTTTGCAAAAGGTTTATATACAACCTGGTATCCTTATATTTATGTATAGTATCTTCGACAACTCATCCGAAAAACCAAGATTCACTTGTAATTAAATTAAAGATGGATCCTACAGTGATATAAGCTAAACTGAAAGTCCCTATTAATCATAGGATACTATATAATCATTGCTATTATTATTATTAATATTAATATTAACATACAGCTAAAAGGCTTATTAATGTCGCTATTCACCACCACAGTTAATTGTTAAAAATACTATATAGGGGTTTTTCATTGACTGTGTCGACATATAAATAAATATAGAATGTAAACGTAATAAAAGAACACGTACTAAATGTATTTGAAAGCGTTTTTCCCGATAGGTTTACTCAATATTCCCATTCCCGTGTGTTCATTAGGCTTTTTCTGAAGGTGTGCGCCCAATACTAACTGAGAACTGACTTAAGGACATGTCTTTTTTTCATCCGGATATGGAATCGGTTTTTATTTCTATGTATATTCGCCTCATATTGAGGCCGCTCGGAGGTCCTACAGATAGCTGAGGCACCTTTTTGAATGTTTCCTCTGCATACCTGCGCCTCTGCGATCATTTCCTAAAGCCCCGCGGAGAGAGGGGACACCCCGGGCCCTCTGCTGTCAGCGGTCAACTGCTCGCTTCCTCTGCTTCTTATTCAGGGATTTACACTAATATTTAGATAGGATAGGGTTTTACAGCGTCGCTCCCTGCAGCTTCAGTCACGCAACATGAATGTGAAAATCATTGTTTTTATGATGAGTGGAATAACCCGTGATTTATTATCTGTTAAATGATGTGAGCGTGTAATAATTTTATCAGCCTGATTGCGGCTGAGACAGACTCATTAAATGAAAGAGTGGAGAAATAAATATCTCCACAACACGAGCATAAAAACATCAAAGGAGATTCTATGCTGTTTCGCTATGAGGGAAGGAGAAGGAGAAGGAGAAGGAGAAGGGGAGCGGGTTGAGAAAGAGAGCGCCCACAGGTCCTTCAGATATACCGATGACCTAATCACATCTCTGTTTAATAAAAAGACACAAACAGCAGCCGCAGAGCCTTGACGTTTACGAGATCTGTGCCTTTTAATGAGGCATGGGCGGGAGTATTTTTTTTTTTTTTGGTTTGGTGATTTGTTATATAACCACAACAGGACGCACAGGACCACACAGGCCTCTCCTGCACCACATGAGGAAAACAAGCCTCCGATTCTACTGTAAAACACAACAGGAAGACACAAAACAACAAGTGCAATCTGTTTTTTTATTTATTTATTTTTTTTGGTAGAGTTTTTTTTTTTTCTCAAACAACTGTTTGTTTGCGCGTAACAGCGCGCGTTAAATCACACGCAGAGCAGACAGGTTTGCCTTCTGTTGGCTCCTGTCATATCTATGGACCGGAGCACCATGGACATAAAGCAGTAGAATAACGCGTTGTAAGGGCGGATAATATTTTCTTTGCAAAATAAAAATGTAAGATATCCAACATTTAACTCCTAAAAAGAAATAAAATCTGTAAAATTCGGAGTGTCCTTTCAGTTTCAGTTGAGATGTGAAGATGGAAAGCATGCCTGCAGCAAACTCCGAAGCTCAAGTGTGGGCAAATTTGTTTAGCGGATGCACTAATTAAGTACATTAAACAACGAAATAACATGTCGGAATTAATACACGTCCACAGAAAGTTCATGTAAACGTGGACCGCAAGTGTTGCAATTTTTAATCAGAGTTCTTCTGGAAATTCATACAAAAACATCCAATTGAATCAACTTTAAGAAGACGTCTGTTGAGCAGTAATTTATAACCAGCGTGTCCCTGATTACTCTGTACGGACTAGCTTATATGAAGGCCTGCAGTTCTCAAATCATTTAAACAATTTATTACACTAAATGTAATATGTCCCCACTCTGGCCACAATGAGAAGAATAATTAGAACACCATCACATGCTCAATAAAAACAAGACAAACATGCAGTGATCTGGTTAGAGACAGAGAGATGTGAGTGTACAGTGTGTGTCCTCTGCATCCATCAGTCAGAGAGGGAGAAACGGAGCAGTCGGCGTTCAGGCCTGTATCCTCTAATCAGTGAGGGCTGTTCGCGTACTTTGCTCACTTTGTCTGCTTGTTGTCAGCTTTGGCTCATATGTGCTAAACTCCTGAGGACACAGTCCGCAGCGCATGAGGTAGTAAAGTCAAGGGGGAGAAAAAAAACATCAAACTCTATTTTACCAGATTAAAAATGGTTGTGCTGTTCAAGCTGCTTGGGTGCTAGAACGAAAAATCACCAGTACATGTAGGCGGCGTTCAAATGTGCGTGTGGTTGCACCTTTATAGAAAGTCTGCAGCGAGTTTTTACACTTCATGGAAACGTTTATCTCCCGTAGTGCTACTGCCAGGCTCTAGCTGCACAGAATGTGTTTCCTTGGGTGATAGCTCACTCACCTCTATGGAAGCCCACTGAAAGAATCTGCATTCTAATAATGCCTTAATATGCGTATTTTACGCAGTGAATAAGCACCTACTGATTTTATTTATTGTGAGCTTTCGATTTAATTATCTGGCACATACTCTGCTTCCACGGCATATTTTTCTTGGGGAGGGTTTGTGTGTGTGTCTGTGGGGGGGGGATAAACAAGTGTATTTTTTCCTTTTAATATTTCACATAAAGTCAGTCTTTATGTTGAGTAGTGCGGCGTTGAATGCCTCCGCTGTGCTCTGGCCGCTGCTGAGGCCTGCGAGCGAATTCCAACACAGTCTCTTCCCATTTTGATCTGCTCCTGTATTTTGTCTGTTATCACCTGAGTATTTACAAAGGAGGCTTCCGACTTGGCAATGATGAAGTGAGTCGGTATCGATGGCATCATATCTGATAAAACAGCCCGGCACACACTGGGAGGAATACATCGTCTGGGCGATGGTTTACACTGGTTGTGACTGCGCCACGCGTGATTTCCTTTATAGAGTAATCAATGCGCACAGGCTCTAATGCCCCCTACTCTATGAATAAACAGTGCTCTGAGTGTGAGTTACAAAATCACTAATATCTATCTACATTCCGTCTCTATGTTATCCGTATGCGTATCTAGATCATCGTATCGTATTCTTATCTATCTATCTATCTAAACAACATATTGCAGTAGTTTATTTATGCTCCCTGCCTCCCACGGAGAAACATCCAAAACAAATAGGGCTAATCCTCTAACGGCTTTATCCCATTAGAACCCCGCTGCTGCCTTCACACTTAATTCAATGACTGCAGTGTAAATTAGACCATCCGGTCGCTATCGCAGCAGCTCCAACAAAACACATCTTTGGTTTGCTGCACATTAAAGCTCAACCTCGATAAGCTGAGAGCCAACAAGGCGATGGTGGAGGCGCAAGGCGGAGAGGTCAAGTCCAGCAGAAGTGCCACGTGTGTTTCTTCTGTTTACGGAGTGCAGGGATGGCGTTTCTGCTCGGTAAAAAATCGGTGTCTTTCTGTGTGCGGCAAGCTACTTAAAGAGGAGGCAAAGGGGCTGTGTAAAGCTCAGATCAAATCGCGTGAAATTACGCAATACATTACATTATACTGCTTTTGTTCAAGTGTCCCAGTAGACAGATGAGTAAGCGTACAGATGGATGCTCGGTGTGAAAAACAACTCTTTATGTGGTTGGTGTCAGCTGAATGTCTGGTGACTCGTTCATTAAATAAAGTAACATATCTGCCACCTCTTACTTGTTCCAATCACATTATTTCCTGGATCCATGTTCTTCATTGATTGAATCAAAAGCTTTATTCTTATTTGTGTGTGTTATTTGATTCACAAAAAACACCCACATTTGAAACTAAAGTAAACAGTGTGAATTGACTTATCTTCTTACATTTTATATCTTTTATTTCCACCCCCTGTTTAAAGAAAACAGAGTGAACTCTCTAAAATATATTTGTATATGTTTTGCACTGCAGCCCCTGGTGTTCCAGGCGAGCTCGGGGCAGGAGCAGCTCTATCTGGGCTTGGACGGCTAAAATATGCAAACGCATATATAGGCCCATCATTTACTGGAAAAGTGGCGCACTTTGAAGCCGGACATTGCAATGACGTTGGAGTTGAATTCAAATGACTGACACGGTCTTATTGAAATAAAACATCCAGTGCAGAGCGCAGACACTTTTTTCCTAGTGGTGCAGGGGAGGCGTGGATCTCGCTCACTTTTGACATTCTCGTAGCAGTAGTAGCTTCTCCTCAAGGCAGGACTCAGATGACACCACCCCGCCACCGATCGGAGCACAAACAAGGCAGGCTCTCTCTCCCTTCTCTGCGGCTGAACTATGTTTTGACACCGGGACGTGTCCAGGGGTTTACCAGATGAATCTGAACACCGGGGTGCTTTTCGCGTCTTCACAGTAGCCGTGGGAATATTTTAAGAACAGTCTAGCCCAGACTCTCGCACCCACGGAGCGCCGGTGGCGGAATGTGAAAACCCCATTTTTGGCGCATGTTCTTCCCCATTGTGCACAGCCTTCTCCTGCTTTCTGCGCGGTTGGAAAGCGGAGGAGGAGGTGGAGGAGGGACGCCTTTTCCCGACTCGATCCCTTGCCTATGGACGACGGCGGTCCCCTCTCTCCAAAGGCAAATGCTTTCAGTATTGCCTCTCTGATTTCGGCTGCAGAGCAAGCAGGAAACGCAGCGTTTGACAAACAGAGCACCGGCCTGGACAAGCCAGACCTACACAACCACAGTTCCTTTAAAATGCACTACAGCACTGTCACCCGGGAAATGGAAGGTAAATCTGTTTGTTGATGCCCATAGAGCTGCTGTAGCACGTATACATCTCAGCCGAAATTATATAAGACCCTTGCATCTGCTCGGTTACTCGATATTTACAAAACGCGCAACTGAATTCAAAGCGCAAACCCACTCATATGTGCGTGGTTTTCAAATTACTGTAAAAGGAAATTCTGAAACGCTTGGCCCATTATGAAAAATAATGCAAATTCAGTCCTAGTGGTCACCATCAGGGAGAAGTCTGCATACAAAGCAGCCAGGGTGGAAAAAAACCCCAAAGCGTTGGACAAAGAGTCAACTTTAATTCGTGGACAGGATCATATACATTGAAAATGAAGCCAAGAGGAGGAGGGTTTCCACGGGCACCCTGTGCGTAATGGTAAAAACATACCATAATACGCATATCCAGCTCGCAGGGGGCTTTATATCCACTCCATAGATCTATTTATCCAATACGAGAAAGCAACAGTCACCTGCTGCCTGTTTGTTTGTTCATGCAAATCAATGTGTGTTTACCTTGTAGACCGTTTACACTCCGCTCTGCCGGCCAGTTCCTCTATTGTTTGCTAACGGGGGTGATGTGGGCGATACCCTTATCCAAAAGTTAAATGGGTGCCGGAAAGCCCATTAAAAAGGGGCGCACTTCTCTGTCAATCAGTCTCGTCCCAAGGCGAGGAAAAGGCACATTACCTGCAGTTCCTTATCTAAATAGAAATAAGAACCGGTTTTATCGCAAAGGGGAGGCCCTCTGCGTCAGATAAGAGAGGAGACTGGGTTGCAGTGTGCTTCACACACTGCAGCAGCGCACAACAGAGGCCGCTCAGAGCGCAATCGATCCAAAGCAAAAACTCATTCACACTCATCGAAGCTCGTTTCTGCGAATAGTTCGGCGATTTTACGCGAGCATTGCGGCTTTTTGGAAACATTTCGTCACTATTGGGACGTTTGCTATTTTAGAGCAGGCAGCCTGTAGTATGCTGGCAGTGGATGCAACCTCAGGGATTAATAAGCAGCCGACACGGAAACCTTTAAACCGAAAGGCGTGCATTTGTGCGTGACATCTTCATCTGGAGATCCCCGAGTCCTGCCTTTGTTTTTACTATCTGTGTTCTAACCGACTTAAAGTGCAGGGCATATTTAGTAAATCCAGTTTTTTGGGATGATTTCAGCCATATCCAGTCCGTGGCTGACGCAGCTGTCCCATTTTTGCGATGTTGCAGCCTTCACGACGAGCAGCCTGAGCAGCCTCAACACGCCGGGGGGCTACCACCTCTCGCCGTCCCCCGGGGACCCCTACAGCCAACATGAGTCCCACTTCGAGCCCTGCCCGGCGGCCCAGCACAACTACAACTACCCGGGGTCTAACCCGGGCCAGGCCCCGCCGAGTGACAACGGGACTCCCAACTGCTCCTCGTCGTCCTCCAATTCCACGCCGAACAGCAAAACTATCGTGAAGAAGAACCCCAAAGTGGCCAACATTAACGTCCAGCTGGAGATGAAAGCTTTATGGGACGAGTTTAATCAGCTGGGCACGGAGATGATCGTTACCAAGGCTGGCAGGTGAGCACTTTCTCCACAGGCCACAGGCTGGAAGTTACTTTACTTCTGCTGCACTCTCGGACAGAGCCCACACAAAATACCGAGCAGAGGCAGCTTTATTGTAGCTTCTAATATAACTCGATGTCCTGCACAAAGATACAACAATGGCATTAAACGAGTATACGTTTTTTTAATGTATATTAATGTATATATAAATATTTTGAGTATTTACGCTGCTGAGGCCAATCAGATATACATGTTTCGATTTCCTTTTATGTTATTTATTTTCAAATATTATTATTTGAAAATAAATAACATTGCAAACAGTACCAAACTGAAATGAGGATAAACGAGTTTTATCAAATAGATTTAGGCTAATATTTTTTTCTTCTTCTGGCCTTTTTCACTATGCAGCTATGTTGTTTTTCTTACTTCAAATAACACATTTATGGGTCCAAACTGCTAAAACTATTTAGAATTAGAACACTTAACAGAAATTATAATGTTGCTTTTTGCACATTTAGGACTAAAATGTTTGTTTACAATCCGGATGAATTAAATTATAGAACACTGACGTCATCTTTTTTTGTCGGCGCGTCAGAGCATTTGGCTTTATGAAATATTATTCTTAATAAAAATATTGTTCTTAATAAAATATTGTTCTTAATAAAACATTATTCTTTATAAAATATGAAAGCTGTGCAGGCGAGCAGTTCAGGTCTGCTGCTCTGAAGTCAGACGCATGGAGGCTTGTATGTGGATGTGTCAGCTGTAAACACTCTGCTGATCTGATCCTGCTGCGTTTAATAGATCCAGTGAGGATAACTGGGACTCTCGGCTGGTTTTCTTCACTGTCAGATTAAATTTTACGCAGCGCTGTTACACGCAACATTATGGCCTTTAATCTGCGAGAGTCTTTACATGTGTGAACGAAGATCCGTTCCCACAAGCCGATTACAGTGTTACACTCTTGTTTTTATTCGGGCCTCGACACGTGTTTACCTTTTTTTTTATTATTTCCTCATTATAGCAGTGTCTGCTGCTTCCCTCCCTTTCCTCTCCTGTCTCACGAAAATCCGTGTTGGTTACATAAACTGCGTGAATATTATTAATTAAAAAACAGAGCATGGTCATTTAAAGATTTGGTCGATTTTGCCATATTAGTTTCCAAATTTTACACGAATTAGAGAGGGTATTTTTAATTGCAGAATTGATCATTTATTCTGCTGGTGTCGAGCTGCTTGTATCCTTAAGACATAAATCTTACCAGTTGACCTCTGACCCTCGTTGAGATAAAGTGCTGCACTAGTATTATTATTTTCAACCAGAAAACGGCAATTACGTATAAGCGTCACCAAATGGCGCCCTGATTTTTTCCTGTATAGTAGTAATATAAAGAGGCATGGGGTAATTGATTTAATCCTGAAAGTGAGGGTTGAGTTTCCCCGCTCTGCTGTCTGACAGGAGAAAGGAGATCTGCAGCAGAGCACTTTAAAAGCTCCTTCAGCCTCACCTAGCCACAACACTGACGTTAATTGAGCGTTGATTTTAGGATCCCTTTCACTGACTCGGTGGATTACTCAACTTTCAGCTGCTGTTTTTGGGGATATGGATAGTAGTCTAGATTAGTTGGAGAGGGGGGAAAAAACAAATGTTTGTGTGCGCTGGCCGAGCCGCTCCAATACCTAAACTTCAAGCAAAACATCCAAAAAGGGATTCAATCCAAATTTCTACAGACAAAGGATAATAATGGCTGTTCATAAATGAATAAAAGTCACAAATATATCAGCACGCAGAGAACACGGGCCTCTAAATGTTCCCTGATGTATTTTTAATAGCCTACAATATAATTCTGGATATTCTTCTCCTCTCGATCCCTATAATAAAATGTTCAGACTCTCTAAAGAGTGCCACACCTCGAGCTACCCAAATAACGCCCATATGCGCGTGTGCAGGCCTCCATGTGTCTGGAACTCGTCAAAAGAGCAGAAGAGAAGTTAAAGCGTCTTGCCAGAAATTACAAACGCGGAGCTAAAAGGCAACAAGCTGCGTTCAGATCAGGGAGAGTTTCAGATGGTTACGCACGGACTGAGTCACGTCAGTTTCAATAGCTTGGAGCTCCTGTTGTCTTGTAGCCTGCAGCTCGGGCCAAACGGAGCTCTGAAAGGCCTGAAGCTGCATGTGTCTCTGCGAACAGGATGACTTTCTAAAAAAAATAAAAAATACTTTGGCTAAAATCATTTGTTGGCTCCACTGACAACAGTTGAACACCACCGTCGAAACACACACACGAAGTAGCACATAAAAACTAAATGTGCGCCCAAAGCAAGCAGCAGTAACAACAATTTAAAGCCCAGATTTAACAGTCACCCTGTGTTTTTTTCTTTGCCAGGAGAATGTTTCCAACTTTCCAAGTGAAAATATTTGGGATGGATCCCATGGCGGACTACATGCTCCTGATGGACTTCCTGCCTGTGGACGACAAACGTTACAGGTAACTTTTTGGATGAAACACACATCTGTCACTGCAGGACCGCGAAACACTGTGCAGTCTGAAACTCCACTTTCAAATAAAGAAATAAATAAATATAAGAATGAATTCATGAATACCAACATGCACATGTGTTTTTACTATACACGGTTGGACTAGAACCTCTATAAATATTTCCCATTAACCAATTTATGCTCGAAATATAATGGTGACTATTCGAGATACATTCAATGTCTTATCTTTTTCATTGCCATTTTTCTATAGGCTCAGTGTGTGTCCCCATTCATACATTATGCATGCATGGGCATTTTGTATGCGTGACTAGGCGACTTTTATTGTAAGTGAATAATGTAGGACAGTGGGAACCTCATGTCTAATGAACCTTTGTTCGGTCTCACAGGTACGCTTTCCACAGCTCATCGTGGCTGGTTGCCGGTAAAGCGGACCCCGCCACACCGGGCAGGGTCCACTACCACCCGGACTCTCCGGCCAAGGGCGCCCAGTGGATGAAGCAGATTGTCTCTTTTGATAAACTTAAACTCACCAACAACCTGCTGGATGACAACGGCCATGTGAGTAGGCTACAGCACTGAAAATAAATGCGCACAGAAAAAGAGTAACAGAGCAACGGCACCCCAATAAGTTAGTAAAAACAGGCAGGAATGGAAATAACTGTAATGAGCAGGGTTATTTAACACCACGGTCTGAGGTTTTAGCGAACACTTAAGGGGTCAACAATACTGTAAACTCTACAAGCTGTAAACTCAGCAGGAAGAGTATTATTGTGTAAGGAGAGGTTGAGCATTTGTATTCGCCATTGATTGACACAAATGATTTAACAGTAGTAAATCTTGATATTTGGACTAATAGTCAGATGTTGCCAAAAGCCTATTTTCTGTCCACACAAATGGCGCTGCGCATCAGGCTTTGCTCCAAAAATGACGGCAAGGAAGCGGAATATTTCACCACTGGAAATGAGTTCAGCCCTTCCCGTTTGATCTTCCATTCTGCCGGAGTGTTTCCGTGTGTCCCTGCATTAGTGGTGAAATCTGAAAGAAAACCGGAGATTCTGGAGTTTCGGGGGTATTTTACCACATACAGAGAGTCCACCATGGGCCTGGAACCATTAGTTGAAGACCATCATTGCTCATGTTAGCCCTTAAAATGAGAATCATGCTGATAAAATATTCTCAAGTTGTCTTTAAATATTTAAATAAATGTCACGGGTTTAAATGGATTTAACAGGAGCACTCCTGTGATGCATTTAATGGCTTTTTATTGACCCTGCTTATATCCACAAATATGCATTTTGGAGAGGGCTGCAGGTTTTTTTTTATATAGGCTACTTAGTGAATAAGATCATTTTTAAAACTACTTCGTTTGGTCTTTACGATATTTAATTTTTCATATCGAACCATCATTTATTTATTATGTATTATGATTAAAATAAAACATTCTGACTTGTGCAACTGAAGCCTTCCCTCCTCCAGTACCGTGTTGCATTATCATTCTGTATGAGTGCTGATGAATCCTCTGGTGTTTGCAGATCATTCTGAACTCCATGCACCGCTACCAGCCCAGGTTCCATGTGGTCTACGTGGACCCCCGCAAGGACAGCGAGAAATATGCCGAAGAGAATTACAAAACCTTCGTTTTTGAGGAAACCCGCTTCACAGCGGTCACAGCGTACCAGAACCACCGGGTAAGACGCTTTTATTACCGTGTATGAACGTCGCTAACGGCAGCCATGTGAGGGTTGTGGCCTGATTCTACCATATAAAAGATAAGGCACATAAATATAGGCTATATATTCGTTGAAACACTATGGGTACACTGAGTGTGACCACAGAGTAATAGCCTATAACAAGGTGGCTTTCAACCCAACTGTTAATAAATAAATGATAAAAAAAATAGCCCGTTTTGTGATTGCCTTGCTACACGGTGTACAAACATTAACGAATGACTCGGTTGTGTTCCGTTAGGTATGCTATCATCTTTTCCATTGTGCGCTTTTTGTGCGTAAATGTTGCCTCTGCTCTGTGCGCACAGCTGTGCTCCCCTTTCTGCTCTGTTTTCCATCAGGCTGCTTAGATTCACACATCAGTGCGTTCATCGATTATTCAGAGCGACTTGTAATGAGGGGAAACATTAGAATACAATCCTATCAGCAATTTACAAGTGATAGCGAGGAGTGCGGGAATGGCTGCCTTATTGTTGTTGGAATATTCCCGTGGCCACACGGTGATCAGGCTAGAGAATAAAACCACTGTGATCTACTGGATGGTCAATGTCACAGATTCTCCAAAGTGGAAATTACTTTTACACTTACAGTGGGTCATTTATTGTTTTCATAATGTGATAATGTGAGACAAAATGACACAAAAGAGGAAAATGGCCTTTGAAATGCAGTGAAACTATGAGGATTACGCTGACAAGCGTATTCAAGTTATGAACAACTTGTGTTGTGGACTATGGGAATCTACAAGTGAGTCTAAGCATCTGTAAATGTTACAAAAGAGTTCAGAAATAAACAGTCTACAACAATATACGCTCTGTATTAACTGGCACTTGTGTTTTAAATAACAGTGAATGGAAAGGATGCTGCAGCATGACAGACCAGGAACTGTTACATATTTTATTAAAGACAGCAGTGTGTTCAATTGTGATTGTTTTCAGAGCAGATTTTCCACTTAAAACTCTCAGTCCACGATGCTTGCCTATCACTGCTGTCCTTTCTAATAGAAATCCAATGCAATGACCATTTAGAAATGAAAATGAGCTTGTGTCTGGCTACAGAATGCAGCGCTGAGGTTTATTTTATGTTGTGCTCTGGATTTCAGATCACACAGCTGAAGATAGCCAGCAATCCCTTTGCAAAAGGCTTCAGGGACTGCGACCCAGAGGACTGGTGAGCGTTTACACTCAAACAATACAGTCTTATTGGCATGTTTCCACACGGTGTAAAAAAAAATGTCAGAGCATTTGCAAAATAGTTTTGCCGTTTGTTTTATCTCAAACAGGTGCCAGGTGGGGGGGGTTTGCCACATAAAAGAACACAATGAGTGCCATGAAGTTTAGAAATCACTGGATGTTGTTTGAAAGTCAATCGACTGTGCTTTTCTGTCATTGACAAATTACCAGACACTCTCGTAATTGTCACAATGGAGTAAACCCCACCCATCTGGTATTGTCAGCAATACAAATGCTTATTCCAAATGTTGTTCATCCAGCTCTGCAATTTACCTTTTCTTTTTTCTTAAAAGCATTAACTGAAGCGATTACTGATGTTTATGGGAGTTTTTGATTATTTTATAGAACAGGCCAATCTGAGTCATGTAATAGGTTGCTTCACATTTTAGTCATTGTAAATTGGGGGCCTGTCAATGTGTAAATGCTCATTACATGCATCAGTGTAAACTCTTAAAATGTGCATTCATCATTTTAATATATAATAAAGAAATTGTGCCCTTGACATTCATTAAATGAGTATGTAACTGTATCCATTCTCCCTGCTCCAGGCCCAGGAATCACAGGCCAGGCTCTCTGCCAATAATGAGTGCCTTTGCCAGAACAAGAAACCCAATGTCATCTCCCTCTCAGCAGAACGGCACAGAGAAAGGTCTGCAGCTTGCTCTTTGTTTCATTTCAAAACTCATGCCTGCTATCAAACAAGAAACACAGTCATGTTATGTTGTTCAGCCTGTTGAATTGTTTCACCTTTAATTGTTGGCATATGTCACCTCATTTTGTCTAAATTTTCCATCCTTAACTAAAGTGCAGTGGTGCATTCGCAGTATCAGGCCAATACTGGCTCTTAATTAAACATCAAATATCAGCCGGTCAGTGTCAGCCACTGCAGGCATAACAGAGGTTCTTCTGCTATTATATAACTGACCACAGCTTCGTAACACAGTAAAAACTGCAATGAAAATGGTTTTATTTATCAATAATAATAATAATGTGATCAATATATCAGATATTTAAAAAAAGCTTCTAATGCATCTGAAGGAATTTTATAACTCAACAATGATTTCTATTGTGAAATTATTATTATTAGATAGAATTTAGAATTTATGCTCCAACATTTTGAGTGAATTGCATTATTTTTATATGCATTCATATTTTTTTAATGATAATTAATATTTTAAATATTTTCTGTGTTTCAATGCAGGCTTAATGATTTAAACAATGCATTTAAACAATATATGCTGCTAATTCTGGGGGTAGTGCTATTGTGTATTGTGTGTGATTTATCCTGCAAACTCTTGGCTTCAACCCAAAAACACTGCTATCAGTATGAGAAATATCTGTACCTGTCCTAACTTCAGAGAAATCCACACAACCTGCTTGTACAAAGTATGCACAACATTGACTCACTCTGCCTGTTCTCACGTCTCTCCCTGCACAGAGGACAGTAGGCGGGAGTACGAGCGGGACCCCAGCGGCACGCCTATACACGCCGACCCAGCTCACCAACTGATGTCCCGGGTCCTCAGCCCCGCCTTGCCCGTCCCAGGAGGCCTCCACGCCGTCCCGCTCACCGGTGGACGACCCAGCCCTCCCCATGACCTTCGGTCAGACCCCCATCCTCTACCCCCGGACACCCTGCACCACCACCCTTACAAGTACCCCACCACCTATGAACACTACCTGGGAGCCAAGACCAGGCCGTCGCCCTATCCTTTACCCACTATCAGAGGACACACGTACCACCACCACATGAACCCAGCCACAGCTAACATGTACTCAGCCACCAGTGGCCCCTCTAACTATGACTACGGGCCCAGATAATGACTGCTGCCGACCAGGGCTGACGGCGCACAGCATTGTGGGAACGGAAATAGGCAGGAAAGGCAACACAGTCCTGTCTGTTGATGGCTTACGCAACCTGCGGGGTGCGTCTACGGGCTGAAACTCCTTTCTGCTGGATAAACCCTGCCGTATTTATTTAAAGGAAATGCATCTTTGCGTTAAGCACGGGCACCTGCTCTGAGTCCTTGAAGAGGTCAGCTTTGACCTTTGAACCCAAATGGCAATAGCTCCACATCAGGTCAGCTCTTACCTGAGCGGCGCAGACATTGAGCCAGCAAACAGAGGAGACAGGAGGGACCTCTCCTTGACATGGACATTACCTTTGATCACAGACTGGAATTGAATTCTTTTTTTTGTTTTTGTGTTGAATGCACTTTTTGATTTGCCTTGTTTTTATTGCTTTCAAAAAAGCCATATGTTATATAGTCCATCAACCTTCTAGGTAGACGAGATGTTTGCATGTTGAGCTCATCAGAGAGGGTGTCGAAACACATCGAAATGTTTTTGTTTGAGGAAAAAAAAATACGAGATTTGATTTTGAAATGTTCTGAACATCTTGAGCCGCTCTGAGAAGCTTGTACCATGGCACTGACTTGCAGCAATTCAAAGTAAATAAATGAAGCAGAATGACTGTTCTGTATCTGTAAAATAAATATTAAATTCTTGTAATTCATAAAGAAAACTGTCTTTGAGCAGATCTTCCATTCAAAGCTCTGTCTGCTGTTGCACTGCTGAGGGGGGAGGGTTAAAAAAAAAAAAGCTTACCTAACTGATAGCATTGTTCAGGTTTCTCCGACCGGATTTGCCCTGCTGAATTGGGCTGAGGTGTCCGCTGTTCCTGCAGTCATTGGTAGTCAGGATTTGGAGGCTGTCTAAACATTAGACTGCACTATAGTTCAAATGTTGAAATCTGCACCTGGTTCTCTGAAAAAAAAGCATATACACACACACATGAATGTCGGACTCATTGACCACTTCCTACACACACTTCCCTCTTATAGTTTAGATAAACCATGTGTGCAGTTGAGTAGCTGTGGTCACATTACAGACTGCAACTTTCTGTTAAAGTCTTTACTGGTTAATGAATAAAATCTGTAGCAACAAGTCATTCAAAACTGCATTAGTGCAGTGCAAGATTTTTAGATTTTTTTTAAAAGATAAGCACTTAAAACCATGACATAATAATAATAATTGATTAACTATTATATGGCTTATTGGACATTTAATATATTAGTCATACTATTGCGAAAAATCATTTGGTAAAAATTTATGTATTTTATTTATCTAAATACTGAAATGTGTTCTGATGGATTTACTTCCCAAAAAACAAGAACCCCTGTCATGTCATAAAAACTGGACAAAGACAGCATTGACATTTCCCCTCTTTACAAAGGGATATCATTGCTCATATTTAATGGGACAGTTGAGTGATATTTAAAGAATGTCACCCTCCTATCTGTGCAGCCATTTCCATCCCCTATTTGAAGTCCTATTAGGAATGCTTTGTTGTCAAGGTTAATCTCAATGGGAAAAAAAATAAGTCTGTTTTGGGATTTGTGCCTGTCACGATACAAAGGGAAACGTACCCTAATGATTCATTTCAACAGTGTATTTTTTCTCCTTGAAGCCAGCTGCCATTGAGCGGAGAGCAGGGGGAAGGAGGACGCCCCAGGCCGCCTGACCTCTGACTGTTTAATGGCTTGTAAAGGTGTCAAAGGTTAAATAATGTTTCCACACATTTAAACGCCGACTAATTGGCTGTACCATTTTTTGGGTTGTTTGGGCTGTGACTAAGACTTTGACACTATTTACTTTATTATAAATTCAATATGCACAATGAGGTCGTAACAGTGAAAACAATTCATTTTAAGCTAGCTTGAAAGGTTTATGCTAACTACTTAGCCTCTTGAAAAACGTGATATTTGACAATAAAGTGTCATTTTCATTATAGCTAATGAATCCTCCGTCTTGCCCTGATTATTTAAAGTTAAGAGGGATTCATATAGTGTGTCTATCTTTAATTCTAGTAATTCTACATTATGTATTTTTTCCCCTGCTATTTTAATAGGCTATTGGTATTATTAGTGTATTAGTTAGTTCTATTAAAATACATTTAAAAAATAACGTCAGTCATAATTAAGCCAAATACCGACTAAAACAAATTTAAATATTTTCAAAAACATTATACTTTCCCACATAAAGTCCAGACAACCTGAGAGGTTCCTGTGTAGTCTGCTCAGGAAGCCGCCTGCTGTGCACGCACCGACGGCGGCCTGCAGGTGCTGACCCTCAGCCCCATAGACACATATATATATACATAAATATATATGTGTCTATGGTCAGCCCAGCCGCCGCTGCTCGTGGGGGGTTGGGCGAGGTAACACAGGGGGGGACAAGGGTCAAAAGGCGATATTCCGACTAATTATAGGTTTCACAACACAGAGGAAACACGTCCATAACTGGGACCATGTCAGTGAACGCAATAAGGGGGAAATCATTTAATAAGTAAATTGCTCCCTGTTAATAGTAAATTATCCCCATATATTCCAACAAGATACTTTATCCAAAATGATTCTGCTAAAAGGGTACACTAATACCCTCCATTACATCCAGACCTGGGGCTTCCAGTACCCAAGGACTGCTGAGGACCCAGTCTAAAGACCCAGTGTGAGGCTGTAAGGGCCAACTGGCAAACAAAGCACAGTGAGCTACCAATAAAGCAGGGTTGGATGATGAAGTATTGTGATCATTTATTTGAGCAACACTGCAAATAGAAAAATGTTTCATCACAAGTAAAAGCTCTGCAATGAAAATGCAACTTTAGTAGGCTACATAATCACAAGAAAAGTAATAACAGGAAGTGTTATTCTAAGTGGATTATTATCACATTAAGAAGCATTATGCTGTTGTAGTTTGTAAAGGTGGGCTTAACTGTAAGTACTTTATATAGCTTACTGCTGGGTAGTTTCATTTAAAACACTGAATTATATTTTATAAGCATCTTGTATGTGAAATCTTAATCTGTAAATGCCTTTGACTTGTAGTGCGGTGAATTATAAAGTAGCATGAAATGTAAATGCTTAAGTAAACCATAAATGCCTCAAGTTTGTAGTTAAGTACCGTACTTGAGTAAATTAGTTAAATCTCACCACTGCAATAAAGTAGCAGCCCTCTGTCTAACCTTAACCCCGCTTGCATATTAACACGTTTGTACCAAACCATATGCAGCAATGAAAATGTTCTTCATATGTTGTGCTCTTAATAAATGGTGTCCCTGGTGCATCAGTGTGGGGAGACATGACATTGAAGTCTGAGGCTGCCTTATTTTATAACCCTGCCCTACATTTTAATGGGACCTTGAAGCTTATTTTTTTTACTGAATTAAGATAAAAATATAGTTTAACAGGCTGAGATTATAGATATTTAAAATCCTTGCAAACTAAACACAATAAGTGATTTTATTCCAACTGGCAAATCAGAGAAATTGCGCCTACTGGAGGAATTATAATGAATTGCACCTCAATACCAATTACTACAGTCAGTATAGGCCTGTAATAGAAAACATTTTTCTACATTACATTTCTACACATGCACCCAAATAAGCTCCAGGATGCTTTCAACAGGCCTTTGCCATTTTCAAGCACATTTCAATGTATCCTTCATTTCACACAGAGGAAAAGAGCAACCCGCTTAGGCCCAGTTGTATTGCAGCACACTACATGTGCCCAGATGTCAGGCTCCAGGAGACATGGTGCCAAGGACTTGCCATTGAAGTATGAAGAGGTAGAGGATTGATGATAATGCAACCTGAGGCATCATTTGACACTCAGCTGCATCTGGAACATCTGTTGTGACAGGCCTATAAGGGCCTCGATTCGTTCCCATCACCTCTGTGTACATTTCTGCTTCTGAGCCTCGCCTGCTTGCCCTGTCTGGGGACAGTTATTAAAAACAAGCCAGGTAAACCAACCAGAGTCCTCCACCTAAACAACAGAACACGTGTTTCACATCTCCACTAATACAAAAGGTGCTACGGTTTATGGTGCGCATGAGGTTGCTGACGGACATTTTATGCGGAACATCAAAACACATCATCACCACTGGGCAAGAGCCTTGATACATTTGTATTAAGTCACATTTGAAAAAATAAATAAAACCAACTTAACTGTGAGGCAAAATGCTGGTTTTGGCTTACACAGAGGGGATTATTTTCTTCAAATCCTTTTTGTTTTACCATTTATGTTTTCTAAATAATCAAGGTCAGTGTGGCGTCTCACGAATACACCCACAGGCCCAGAGAACGACAGTATCAACCACACACACACATTCACACAACCCAATGGATTACGTCCTGTTCTAACCCACCGGATTATGTCCTGTCCCAAAGCCAGGCTGACCCCTGACCTTCAAGGCCAAGGAAGACACACGCTAGGTGATAAGTGAAGCACAGGGCCTATTGTGCAGACTGCCTCCCTGTCCATTTATTGACTTCCTAAATGATCCATTATGAAGTGATTTACGAGGTCCACCGCCACCCTGCCAGGCACTTCTAAAGCTGGTGGGCTGCCGTCTGCTCCATTCAGCAGACATCTGCACCAATGGACCCAGGATTTGATTTATCAGAGAACGGACGGAAGCTGGCCCACGCCACCTCTAGTGTTTGTTCAAAGCCAACAGGAGAGTTAGGAAGCTGTTATGAATGCAACTTGTCACCAGCGGGGTCAGGGACAAAAGGTATAGCTGGAGCTCTGCGGGGAACATGGAAAACATGTCATTAAAACCAGGCACTTGAAAAAAAGAAGTGAGCAAAAAAAGGTCTTATTCCATGTATTTTTTTAAAATTACATCAGAGGGTTTTCAACAAGTACAAACATCCAAAACATACATTTGAATATAAGAAAGAAAACAAACAAAACCTGCAGTTACACACTCTTTTTTCCAGTAGCGTCACAGCAAGGGAGCTTGTCTAGCGAATGACCTTGTCTTTCCTCTGTTCGCTAATGATTCGTGGCCATTATGCTAGTCTGGCCCTTTGATTTCTCAGACCTTTCCTGTACAGCATGATGAGCTTCTCAACTTGAGGTCATCCCAGGAGACAAAGCCTTTATTAAGCAGAACGTCTAATGCTTGAAGCCCCGGCCCCTGGGCTCTCGGCACGGTGTTGTAACAGACAGGCTCCCATGCTGCTCATTGACACACAGAAATATTATTAGAGACAGTGGACAGAAAAACAACACCTCTCTATCTTCCCTGGGACTTTCACAACAAGACCCTTGGCCTTGTTCATGACAAATGTCAGTTTCTTAAAAAAGACATCTGTATTTAGCATTACGGATGGAGTAAATGCAGGAGTTAACAATGGTTTTATTTAAACTACTTCTCTTAAATTCTTTAGCAGTTAATGTAGAGTTCCTCATTCTTTCTGATCTTTTTGATTTACTAAGAGTTGATACTTGTTAAGGAAAACAAAATCAGCTCCTAAACAGATAATTCTGGACCAAGGAGAGCATCTGCAGATCAGCACCTCCACTAAACCAACAGCTCTCTGTTCTTTATGCCCCTGCTGTGATTAACCTTGTTTGACAAATACTGCTCAGGTCAGGCTGGAGGGCCTGTGTTAAGCCAAGACCTGCTAGAATAACAACACGAGATTACATAGCTGCTCAGGTGCGTCGTATACCTCAAATTCAAATCCACTGGAGCAAAACTCCCATCAGATAAGTCAACACAATCACATAGCTGCACAGAACCTCACAAAAGGCTTTAGCAAACAGAGGGCTACAAAAGTCCTAATGAACTATTTCAAATATAGCAGATATTTTAATTGGCCTCACATTTTAAGATGGACTGTGTCTATAAATATTTGAAGGTGTATATTTTTTTACACACTAGAAATACTGAATTATGTTGTGATAATGAGGCCTCTGTCTAACTTTCCGTTTTATGATCTTCACATTAATTGCACACTCATTATTGTCCTGCAGTTAATGTCACAGTCTCCAACAGCAGTCATACTGGTGGGCAGAAATCTATACTCTCATGTACTTTGTGCATGTAGATGCATTCATGACTGCTACATGAAAAAACCTTATTAAAGAAAATGTACAATATGTAAGACATAGGCTGTGTAAAAAAACAAATAACATGAATAGTAGTCCCAAACCCAGAGTTAAGCATTTGTACTTATTATATTACAAATATTGACTTTTTTACTTCAGATGTTAAGTGTACACATTGTTTGAGGAATGGCATTTGGATTTGTTATTGGAAAAAATGGTACAATGAGTCTGTAAACATAGGCTACTAATGCAGTAGTTAATGTAATTTTAGTTTATAATATGAACTAAATATAATCAGCTATGATTGAGTTCAAACACCAGTTCTTATTCAGGATATTACGCTGCGCAGCATATTTGACCAGTGTCTATTCTCAGGAATCCTGCAGCAGGATGCATTGTTTACCGTAATGTGAGGCACATTAGCTAATAAAAAAAGAAAAGGGGTGGCTCGTCGTGTGGGATGAATTTGAACTCATACCGATATGGACAACAGGCGCTTTATTCACCAGGTTTCTAGATCCAGATGTCACTAAAGTTAAGTTAGCTTCCTTGCGGATGCTACTGTTTTTATGAATGCAAACAACTTGCAGTGTGTCACATAAATGTATTTCCCTTATTTTACTACTGTATTTTTATAGCTCAGGTGAAATAATAACAAAACATTTATTAAGCCATTGTTATTTATGCATGCTTCAATATCGCTTACTGCTAGATGGCGACATTAATGCAAGACCTCGATATCAAGAGACAGGTATAATAGTCCATATATCTAGATATTGAGCCATTGATTTTTGGCCACTGACACCATTTTGGGTCACACCACCATCAGTGCAAATTAGGGTTAAGACAGTATTGATTAAAAGTCCATATATCTTCCCAAAGCTCAAAGGCTCAGCCAGTGTCAGCTCCCTGGTTGTATATTGACCACAGGCTTATCCGCTGGTCCTTGGACCCGCCAGCCAGCAGTCTTTGTCTGGGGTCCTGATGGTCAGAGAAGGCAACGCTTTGCACCATGTCAGTGTGGTACTGAAGCACAGCCAGCGGCCGCAGCTTCTTCCACCCAAACACCCGCACCCGATGGTCCCAGCCAGCTGACGCCAGAAGCTTACCGTCCCCCCTGATACACAGCTGGGAAACCCCAGGGTTGACCAGCGTCACACAGTCCTGGAGCTGTAAAACCACAAAGAGGAAAAGGATTTTAGCAGGTGTTTGCGGGTTAGAACCATGTACTTTTACATGTATTACAAACACTTCCATATGCAAAGGCCAAGGACGCTGAGTAGTAGTTTCTTTGTGGTGTCAGAGAAATTTAAAACCAAATTAATTTATTGTTCATGCAAATAAGGAGACAAAAATAATCAGACAAACTAATTAGGTCAGTAAGACGATTAATCACTGCCGTCTAGGAAACTGAGGCCAACACAAACACCGAAGGGGAGAGACTATCAGCTGATCTGATGACTGAGGTCCAAGTGTGAGGTTGGATATCTGTTGAACCTGGCTGTAGACTCTTGGGACTCAATCATCGGCCATAAAACATTATGGCACGAGGGCTGCGAGCAAATCTCTCTGCGTCCCACTATTTGGTTTGGAGTTAGGGAGGCCTATTCTGGAAGCACGACTGGGCTTGAGTTACCTTTGTCACAGTTTGCAACAGAGACTATCTCGCTGAAATACTTGTTTGCAGAGGCCTTGTTGCTTTAAACGCCTCTGATGAATTACATTCACACTGAAAGGTCTGGTCAGCGAGAGAAGGGACCCGATAAATACACTGTTGTAACGTCTGCCTGCTTAAGATTAGCCACAGCTCCCTCTCCCTGTGATCTACAGTGTCCCACGGACTGTATCAATCTCTCTAAAGGGGCAACATTCTGACATATTATAATGAATGGTGGCTAAGATCACTATCTGAAGGGCCTGCTGTGGTGGGCATTCCTGGGGAGCGAACGTGCTCTTCCTGCGGGCTAGGGATCTCTGCTGGACCTGCAGATGGGACACAAACATCTGGATATGGGAGCTGAAATCAAACAGGACAGCGTAAAATTGACTTCATAAGTTGTGTCTAGGGAGACTAATGGCCTTTGGTTGGGAGGAGACGGTGGAGAATTTATCTGCATGCTCCTGTTCCGGGCAGGAACCATCCACAAGCTGCATGTGGAAGATATAAGCCAGGTACTCATAGCCCAAGTGGATAAAGTGGAATGCAAGGGAGAGAGGGAGCAGGGAGGAATGTCATTGATCAAAACAGAGCGAGAAAGCTAAGTTCAGAACAGGCAGTGATGTGATTTCTTTTTATTTCTTTGTTAATCAAACCATCATCGCTGGTACCACGGAGTGTAGTTGGTTAGACCAAACACGCCAGATACACTGATACAAAGAAACCCAGGGGGTGAAAGATTGTTTGGAGCTTTGTTATTACCTCAAGAAGTTGGTATGCCCCTGCCTCTCTCCATCTGGTTTGCATTAGAGGCCTGATAATGATGGGTTTAAGTGTCTGTTTTTGTTTGTTTTGCTTCCCATAGTTTGTGTCAGGAAAAAGGCATTTGTTTCATTAAAGGGTCAATTGTAAGTAGTAAATGGCTAATGGTGCGGTAATGGTCATTCAGCGTGGCTGACTGGCTAATTGTTTTTACTTTCTACAGTCTGAGAAAGTAGAAAGAAAAGTGGTGAGAAAAAAGGTCGGCCCGCGCTATAACTTTAAATTAATGGTGATCATGTGCTAGTTCCCTGAGCTGCTTGTGATCAGTGTTTTACTCTGTGTGGTGCTGGATGGTAATAGAGCTAAAACAATGCAAAATTATTACTTGATCAACAAAAAAGTAATAACCAACTTTTTTGAAATTCAATCAATCTTTTAAATTCCAAAAAATTCTGTTTTATATCATTGTAAATTGACAAAACACATTTGAAGGCATCACTTTGGGGCCTAGAAGATTGTGATCTACATTTTCCACTATTTTCCGACATGAATCAAATTAATGAATCATAAAATAAATTTTAGTTGCTGCCAGAAAGTATTAGTTTTATTAATTCACAGCATCTGCCCATGTTTGCTTTACACTGCAGCACATGAAAAACAGATTTTTGGACATAATATAATAATAACATCAGAGTTGGGTCGACGAAATGATTAATCAGAAAATGAATCGCCAATCATTTTGATAACCGATTAATCATTCAAATAATAAAGTCAATTTCTAGTGTAATACTTTGACGTCAGCCTACCCATTTTCCCATTACGAGTCTTTGTACTAAGCTAAGCTAACCATCTTCTTCATATTTACCATACAGACATGATAGCGGTAACAATCTTCTATGATTATAAATTGATTATCTTTGGATTTCAGACTGTTGGTAAGGCAAGACAATCTGACGTTGTCCCCTTGGACTGGGAAAACATGATGATTTTATAGACAAAATTACTTATCCATTCATTGAGAAAACAATGAGAAAATTAATGCATAATAAAAAAGACAATTCGCCCCTTGACAATGTTATTTCTCAATATTCGGACTAACTCTCTTTGTTCTTAAAAGGGGCATTTTCTAAATTGTGCTGTCATTTTTATTCCATGTTCTCTAGCAGCAGCAATACTGTTCTTGCTGCAGAGTCACATCACTGCTGAATGAATACCAAGAAAGTGCTGCTGGCTTCAGCGCAGCCATTAACCAGGTCTCAATCTGTAATGAAATCCATTAGCTCTAACCGGGGAGTCTTGGCTCATTTTGTTTGCCGCCTCATTTTTCTTCCCCCTGCTTCCTTACTATCTCATCAGAGACAGAACTCCTCTTTGGGCTTCATCATTTCTTTGTTTGAACACTCCTTCCTTGCCTGTGTTACAGCATGCAGACACACACACACACACACACAGCAGGTTTGCTGTATCAATGCCAGATTTCTCAGCTGTCAGGAGGCTACCAGCTCTGCTCAGCAGCTGGGCCCACTAGACTTATGCGGCCTACGACAGATCCAACACAAACTCGTACTTCAGGGTCCTCTTTTGTAGTGTCTCACCGACGGAGGAGACGTTCAAAAGGAGCGTCCACTTGGCAGATCTCACTCAAGCCTTGCTCCACTTTTCGCCCCGTCTCTCCCCTCGGTCTTGGCACGGATCTTGGCGTTCACGCTCGTCTACTGAAACTTCCCATCATCGCTCACTCACTCGAGCCTAGCGGCTGGGAGGCTTTTCGCAGGTATTTCTGACACACCCTGTCCCTGAATCACACTCAGCAGCGGGGAGATTACAGCCTTTTGTCACCTTGCCTGTCAGAGCTTGGCTCCAGCTGACAGGAGATGGATGTGTCAAACAGGTGAGCAGACCCATTCAGAAAAGAGAGAAGAGGATGGGGAGGGCAATCATTTTATGACAGCAGCTCATGCATACATCTGTCCAATGGCAGACTGAGCTTGGGTGTGATATGACCTGACCTATAACTCAGGTCAGGTCTGGCTGAACGGGTGCAAGCGTTCACAGAAGGCAGCATGTAGATGAAGTAGTTAAGATGAGAGGCAGGAGTTCCACCTGTAGAGAACTGTCATCAGCCTCAGAAATAGCTTGCTGTCAGCCATGCTTGATTTACACTGCTAATCTTCCTCTGTCTATACTCGCTTTCTCTTTTTCCAGTCTGCGACCTCTGTCTTTCTCTTTGTCCTGGAGGAACCCGTCACTGCACTTGTCAATGCATTTGAGCGTCCGCCTAAATATATGTCCATCTGGCTTAACAGCTTGTAAGCCCCAACAGCCACGCCCTCATAGTCTCCCCCTTACAACATTCCCAGAAATGTACGCTAGAAGGAAAGGAGAAAACAGGCTGAAGATGATGCCTCATTGCTATGAAAAGATATCAGGCCAGCCAGGTCAAACAGGAGATAAAGGCCTCTGGGAGCCATGTGTAATACATTAACCTCCATTCCTGAGGCTATCTGTCTTTATCTGGGCTTGATAAGCTCACTTCACAGCCTTTCAGCTTCACTAAATCATAACTGCACTGTGTTGTGTCACATCCAGTTTCCCCTCCATTTCACAAAAAGCATCTATCTTCCTTGCCAGCCAGTTCCACTACACTGGACTGTATCGCAGGGGTAATTTGTGGGAAGTGGGATGCTGTGGCACTTATAGTCTCCTCAGCCTTTATTGCAGCCTCCCACTGTGAACTACTGTTCCCTTTACTGCAGATGTGTTTTTTGTTTAGTTAAGGGGCCTCCGAGGTTTTGATATTTTTATTACCTCTCACGGGTCGTCCGTCAGGACCCGAGGCCCGGGTCCGCCACCCAGCAGGTCCTCCCGCCCCCTTACTGCTGCCACACAAAAATACTTTTGTGGGAAGAACTGAGGATAGCTGTCTGGACGTCACACTGAGCTGCACTTCAGGATAATTTAAAAGCCCCTGTTGGATCTTTTCCCTCTCCTTGTGCTTTTTTCCTGTCATCCTCATCCTGGATTACATGCTGAATCAATATTTTGTTGCTTGAGCAAAATAAACCAAATAACCACTCTCCTCCTGTTTTTGGTATATTGAATCAACTCCTTCGTAGTGTTTTTCTAGACGCATTTTCAGGGTGAAAAAAATGGGGCTTTGCAAATATTTCTAATTCAAGCATTCATTTGTAAAAAGCCTTGGAAAGAATAATACCCCTTCACTGTGCCGGAGTGTACTATATCAGCCTCAGGTTCCTTTCTGCTCTGATTCATGGCGGTTGGCTGCAAAATGGGAGCATTCCCTTTTGCTCATGAAATCAAGAGAAAATATAGCTTCAAATGAGGCGTTAAGTCTCTGAAGCATTGGCTGTTATGTAAAATGAATTATGGTACAAAGCTGATGTGATCTCTTTTGGTGTGGCAGAGGATGCTCTGGTATGGCCTTTAGTGCATCCACTCCAAAGTATTTATGTGTGTGTGTGAGAACCTGTATGTACTGTAAGGTAAGTATGCATCTCCATAGTATCCTGGTGTCAGCAATGTTATATTTGTTGCTTTTTTTAACTGCTACATTTTTCTATTTATTACTACACAATAAAAAGTAAAATTACATTTTGTGATGCGTCTATATATGTTATTCAAGCGTAATGTGTGACTATATGTCTGTGTGTGTGTGTGTGGGTGGTTTGAGTCTGGAGTGACAGCCCCAGCCCGGCCCTTGGCCCCTGGCCCTGCCAACGCTGTGTAACCAGCAGCTGATTTATGGCCCCCGAAGCCCTGCTGAGCCTCTTCCTCTTTGGCCCCTGATGTTTTCCAAGAGAGCCTGGAGAAAGGGAATGCTCCTCTCTTCCCACCTCCACCATTACCTTTCTCTAATATTTTATGGCATTCAGCTGACTCTCTTGTGCAACAATTAGTTAGTAGGCGGGGAGTTGTACATTATAATGGTTACCTAACTTGGTGTAGTTTACCCCAGAAGATATTTTTGGAATTGCCAAGATGGGCCTGGAAAAGTGTGTACAATTGCACAACCACAATAACTACAACTAATTTGGAAAAAGAAGTATTATGATTTGATAAAAAAAAATATATATATCCACACATTGAGTAACATCTAAACACTACATGCAATTGAATTGCAAGAAAAGTAAAAAAAAAAAAAAAAAGGGAATTAGTAATGGATAAAAATATACTGCTAAAAGTAATTAATAAACAGATAGCTGTAAGTATAGATAAAAAATTAAAAGGTCAGCTTAAAGCGTTGAAAATGGTGAAAAAAACAAAATAATGGATAAATGTTAGAAATAAGTAGATAAATAAATGGTTTAAATGTCCAGCTTATAGTGTTAAATAACAACCAGTTTAAAATTAAAAATGAATTAAAAAATGAATTAAAAATTAAAAATTATAATGAACATATTTGGGTGGTATCGATGGAGGGGTACATTAGTGATCACCACAGACAGAGCTGACACAGAAAGTTTGGAACCACTGGATTAGACAACATTATCCACTCTAAGCCTGTCCTCTGCTGACCTGCAGGTTGTTCTGTCTGTCCAGCATCCAGGAGGAGAGTTTCTTCTCAGAAGAGCCCGATATGCCCCTCAGACGCTCGGTGTCAAAGGTCAGGCACATGACAGGCTCAGGGTGGGCTTTGGCTTGACTCAGCTTGGACCTCTGGGTTACATCCCACAGCAACAGGGAACCGTCCTCGTATCCAGCCAACAGGAGAGGTCCGGGCCCAGAGTCTGGCTGGAAGTGAGAGAGGAACGATAAGAGAAAGGAGGAGGGACAGCGAGATGGGAAGAGAGAACACAAAGAGGAGTGTGCTGTAAGACGTCAGATGAGAGCTGCGTAGTAAAAACCACAGAAACCACCGCGCGACGGTGGAAGCTGAGCGGAGCAGAGGTTATCATCCTGGAAGCTCCCGCTGACACTCGGAAAGACGCCGTGGGCTCCATTCGTCAGCCTGCTGCTCTCTCTTTCCAGCACTCCATTACACCACTCTTCACTTTGCTCCTCATCTATATTACTGAGCCACAGGCCTCGCTGCTGGCCCTGATACATATACTGAGCTATCAGATGGCAAAACTTATTTTTCCTCTTAAAACTTGGTTTATTTAAATAACTTAAAACTCAAATTCATTAACCACATAGTTTTGACTGTTATTTAGTTATTTTTTTGTATATGTGGTATATTTTATATTATTCATCTTTCTTTTTGACAAAGTATGCTCTACTTCTATTGTTGAGTTATACACAACCTTTTAATGACACCTTTTACACTATAATGACAAAATTTGCTATCTTACAGTAATGCAGTGCATTGTTTAAACTATAGCTTATCAGTAATATTACTGCAAATTCTACATTTTAACACAGGAAAATATTTATTGTTTATTTAAACAAACAAAACGAAATTACTTAAAATGTTATATATTATAACATTGATAAAGGATTTTTTTTTTTATCATTTAGTCTATCAAGTGTCAGAAAAATGGCCATTATAGTTTGCCAGAGCTTGTGTATAAACAACTGCTGAAACCTCCCCCAAATCACTATACAATTATACAAAACAGAGAAACGGAAGTTAATTATTAATATTAAATTATTAATATGCATTCATTTGAACTAATCAATAAATCAACTAATGCTCACATACTAAAACAAAGTAATAAACAAAAAACACACTATAGTCTTATTTCATCCCCATTTCACCCTAGGACATTACAGATCCAGCCCCAATGTTTACAACTGGCGAAACCATCACAATAAATCTTTTAAATCATGTGAAATGAAATGAAACCAGGTGCACAAACAGGCATCAGATGCAAAACCTAAACCAGCACTACCTTAAATAGTGCCAGTTTAGGTTTTATGGTATATAAAGAGCAACCTGCCCCAAGCACAGAATGTATTTCTATGCATATAAGAAGAGAAAAATAAGCTGTATAACATTTAAAAATAATAAATAAATAATAACCTCTCTGTGCTAGCTAGCTTCTTTTACATAAGTGTGTAGGATCGAGGTTGTGTGGAGGTATACAGTGAGCTTGTAAATCCTCTCTGTGAATGTGAAACATAGAGGTGAACTGATAAAAACCTTGGACTTCATATATTTTTAGAAATGGCAGAGGAAAGAAAGGAAGGACCTAAAGGAGAGCGAGAAGAGAAGGGGGAGGGGGGGACAATGGGTGACATCTAACCTCCATCCTGCTTTCCCAAAAATCCCACAATTCCACTGTGGAGAAATATAAAGTGCCGTGCCTCTCGCTAAATAGAACACTCCCCTTCACTTCCACATATGCCTGAGGTGTTATCCAAACAACGATTTAAACTTTTCCAAGACTTTACACTGGCCGGAGGAACAGCACAATACATTTCAGAAGACCTATGAACACACAGCACAGATATACACTTCATCCTGACTTGTGCCTTTGCTTTAAAAATACCATCAGGCCTCCAGCAAAAGCACTGTGCCCTGCAGAAGCAAGGAGGGAAAGAAATTTTTTCCATATGTGCGAGGGGGCCATGTCTGCCATTTTTTCATCCATCTTCAAGTCCTCTTCTCACTTAACGCTCTATATTTCTCTTCTTCCAGCTATAAACAAATTATAGACAGAGTCTTGTATTCCTTCCAAACACATCAGCGAGGACGAACACGAAGGGATTATGAAAACAAATAAAAACAAGTGAAAATCAGTGGCCCCTGCTTGCCGGCAGGGCCCAGGCTAAGCGTTCCAGGCTTGGGGCCCACCGTTTCACTTAAGTGTAGGACCTCCTTGATTGATGATGTCATGGGTCGGAGGTCGGGGAACCCTGGGTAGACACCTAATTCATTATATCCTCCACAGGCCTTTCTACAAGAGGGCTCTCTGCTGGAGTGGGGCTGGGGCTCTGGGAGCAGATTCATCACTACAGAACAGCTGGAAAGACAGATGGATGGAAGCTGGTTGAAGAGGAGAGAGTAGTGAAGCTGGATCTTCTCTAGATTGCCTACTAGTTAGGCCTCAACCTGTGTGCCGTTTCTTTCTGTACTTATGGAGCGCAGTAATGTGTAAACAACATAAAATCATCATTACTATAATTAACAATGCAACCATTCAAGCCTGCAAACTGAAAGCCCTTTTTTATAGATCTGTGTCCAGTCTGTTGGTCGCTCAGGCTGTCGGTTCAGACCACCATGGTCCAGTTAGGTCATCAGCAACTGTAGGACATGCAAGACTTCATGGCCTTTTGCACATCAAGTTTTTGTTTTCTTAGTTCTTGTATTCTTCTAAAATATTGGAGAGGTTTAAAAGGCTTAAAATACCCCTGCTGCTGAGGCTACAGAAAGTACAGATAGACCCTATGGCGGCACTAAACAAGCACTATCAAATAGAGACAACATGACTATATTTGCTGCAGGTGTAGGTCCTCAGAGTTTTCGGCTGAAAAAACATTCACTGCAAGCTAAAAATGTATCTCCATATTAAAGTTTATCTGCTAGGGCTAAAAGTAAAGATTATGTTTATTCATTTGCTTATTATTCCTTGAATAATCCATTAACAGTTTGGTCTATAAACACACAATCGATCACAATTTTCCAGAGACCAAGGTCTCATCTATCAATAGCTTGTTTTGTCGGACCAGCAGTGCCAAACTCAGGAATAAACAAAACAAAGAAAAGCTGCAGACCCTTACAGTTGAGAATATGGAACTAGGTGATGTTTGGCATCCTATCTTTGAAAAATGGCCTAAAGGGTGAATCGATCATCAAAAAAGTTACAGTGCTTGATTGCCTAATCGTTGCAGCTCTATTTCTTGCAATTTCTAATTTATACAAAACCTCCTTCTTAATTTCATTATCTCTCAGTCAATCAGTCAATAGTCTATTATGCCCTAGATGCTTCTAAATTCGTTGTTCATTAGGAGCCCTTGAACAGCATTAAACTAAAATTCTACTGCAATATTTTACATATGCAACATATTAGATTTCACTAGTTTTCAGTGTGCATGACCAGGCATCTTGATTAATTACAGAAAGCCACGATTTAACTTGAAATTGTTAAAAATGCAGCTGCAAAGGTTTAATTTGTATTTGTTGAATCCAGCCAGTCTGTGTATTGCACAATGTCTTCTGAGCAGCCGAAGAAAGAAAATTACTGTTTTGCACGCCAAAAAAGAATTTTTAATTGAGTCAAATCATTACCTCCAAAGTACTGTACTGCTGTTACAGTAGCCCTGTATTCATTTACAGCCCTTTTGAAAGGCAAATGCTCATATATAGCCTGTTATGTATTAGCTTAAATTTGGCCAAAAAATAAGTAGTAGAGGCCTCCATGAGGCACACATGCTGGACAACTTCTAGTCTCCAAGTGAGTGATCAAAGGTTTATGTTATTTATATTATTGTTTTGTATGGACTGTAGCTAACTGCCATGTGTTGCACTGTGGCAGTATTTATTGGTGGACGTGTGCTGTACTATTTAGTGTATATCTATTACATTGTATATATGAATTTTAAAGGACAAGTCGTATTATTTAATTTCAAGGGTCCCCTTCTAACATCTGGCCTAGGACAACAGCTGAATATTAGGCTTTTAGGCTAATTCTGGCTCACTAACAGTATTTTCTCTGTTGATTAATGAGCACCATCGCTGTCAAATAAACTTATGCAATAAAAAACACAAATAAATAAAATCTAAATGCAATTAGAGAGAAGTATGTGACAATTCCAAAGTTATTGTATATTTAGCAAACACTTCCATGTCATTTCCTTATGTGGTAAGTCCTTCCAAAACCATGAACGACTCAGAGACCAACAGCTTGTTTGCTGATGTGGCCGCCACAGGCCTCAGGCAGGCACTGCTTCAACATAAGGAACCAATCGTTTCCTCCGGTTTTTGTCCTGGTCCACTATGATGTCATGGCCACGAGGCAGCAAGGTGATGAGCTGAGAGTGATGGATATCTGTATAGGAACATTTCCTTTTCCCCGCCAGCCTCTGTTCACATTAAAAGCATTGCACATCATACATCAATACTGTCCCCCTGGCCAAGCCCTACGTCCCTGCACACGTCAAACCCACATGTGGAGGCACTTTCCTCCTCCACGTTTGCCCGTATTGTTCATCGCTTCACAGCCAAGCAGATTCAGAGAAATCAGATAGCTCTGTCACCTTTAAGACATATCCCAGCGTATGAACTCAGGGCTGGGTGGGATTTTGCTGAAGGGAAGCTGAATTGAGAAGAAAGTGCAGTTTAACACTGCGTTTAATCTTTTCCATAAACTCCGGCAGAGAGGGCTTAAAGGCCCGACAATAAATCTGTTGGTGAGTCTGTCTTGAAAATAATGGAGGATAATCACTTCTCATCTCAACGGTGGGAAGAAGAGAAGGAGGGATGGTGAGAGGGAAGACAGAGTGGAGATCATTGTCAGTGGCTTCTCCCTGGTGCGTGTGCGTGATAGAGAGAGACAGGGTGGAGAGAGGGGTGAGGGTGTCAGCTGTTGCCTCCTGCTGTGAGAGGTTAAGGAAACAGTGGGTAGCATATGAGCATCTGATGTGAAAGACAACATGAACATTTTTTCTTCTTATGACTGACAGACATTCTTTCATTCTGTCTGTGGGTAGAGTTGTGTGTTTGAAAGAGGGTTAACACACGCACACCCACACATGCGCATGCACACGCACACGCACACACACACACACACACACGAGTCGCTCAGTCAGCGTAACAGATGAACATGCCGAGGCCTTGAAAGGAATCAGCCTGAAATGATTTAGAATCACCTGGGCCATTCGGCTTTGAAGTCAGACAGCTGCCTGTGCTGTATTACAATGATATTATATAATTTATAATGATATAATTGATCATTATGTTTCCTGGCACTCAACGCTGAACCAGCATTGGTTCATAAATCAGATGATGAAAGGAGGGTGTAACAGTGAAATCAAAGGGAGACAAAGAAAAACACAAACACAATGTCAGCATGCACTGTGAGACTCTAACTTGCCTTCATGTCTCTATAATAACTTCACAAACACAATGTCACCTTTATGGTTTTTGTAGCTATTAAAGTAACTCTAATTAGTATTACAGGAATACAGGACTGAATGCGCACAGGCCAGCAATTTGCCTCACTCTGGCTTTAAAATGATAAGCTGTGTTTTGATTTCTGTTGCCTGTAAACTGTAACAGATCATAAAATTTGTTCAAACCATCCACAGTCTTGCATAAGTCTGAAACCCCACTCTGTCCCCTAAAGCCCCAAACCCAAAATGTTAATAATTAACCATGAAAATAATTACAGGGTCTCGTTAATGGCTGGAAAATAAAACTTTCGACAGCATTTACAAAACAGAAAGCTAACTTTCTGCTTGCATCAGATTGGATGCACAGCTGCAGGCTGATATATGGCTGTGAACCCCCGGCCCTTCCAAACGCTCTAATTACAGCGTTGGAACTCGCTGCCAGCTGAGAGGAAATGCTTGGAAAAATGGCCCAGGACAAGATGTTGGGCTGTAAATCATGTGCCACATCTCTCATATTTTTGTTGACTTTTCTATTATTGCATCTTGTAATGGGCTGTTGGCCAATCAGAATAAAGCAGGTAAGTCGTGAAAAAGTACCATTTAGAACAAGGAGGAAAGAGAAGGTAGAGAATCTCCTGCTTTTGATAATGGCTGCCAAGGTGAACTCCTTGAACCTGAGATGGAGACAAATTGCTACTTTTTGAGGGGTTAAGTTAAAAGCACTGCAACACTTTCTGTTAAAATGACACGTGATAGGAACGTCTGGTGCTTACCTGCCACAGTTTGATGCACATGACCATCCCCAGCTTAGCATCAGGTACCAGGGTGCAGACTGGGGTCTTACTGGGTAGCTCAATAATCTTGATCTGCAGAGAACACGTGACAATTAAAACTCACAAAAAGTAGCTGGCCTATTCACCTCCACATTCTAGCAGTTCTGTGATGCAGTACTTAGACACAGCCTAACTTGAGGTGAATGTTAACATCAGTATGCTCACAATGACAATGAAATTAGGTATGTTAACCCTGAGGTGTTGCTCCCTTGTAGTATTCAGCCTGCAGCCTCATCTCACTTGATTTCTGTGCATTTTTGGGTGTCAACATGCTAAACTACTCATACTATCCCCACTGGCTACATTTTTAGGCTAAACTGTGAGTCATTTGCCCGTCAAAGCTCTGAGAGCACAACCTGAAGCTGCCAGGCAGACTTTCATATTTCTATTTTACATGTTTTAGGAATTTATCCAATATATCCATAAGGTATTTTTGTTTTAATATATCGGTTTTCATTATTTCTATTGCAATGCCATTTTCATTATTGTGAGCCAGTTATAGTTACACAGTAAATTGCAGTTTATTTATCTACAAGCTGTCTGCCGAGTCATGATTTGTTTGTCTTCTGCATTCACATAACAAAGCAGCAACCTGAATATGTCATTGTGGTTCAGGACCTCCGCAGATCAGAGTGCCTCCAACCAGCAGTACAGTACCATCCATCAGTCCAGAGCAGCCGCCCCGCTGTCTATAATAAATCCTGCTAAAGCCTGACCCCGTGACATGAATGGTGTTTTCCTGCACACATTGGCACTGATTCTGATAAAATACACAGTCTAATGAAGCCAGTGATAAAGCATGTGCCTTTGTTATGTGTACCCACATCACTACCAAAACTCATTCCTTTGACTTCCTCCGCACTGATGATCCGCATATTCATCCTCATTAGGCCTCAGATTAAACAGCCCTTTAAGGGAAGCGATCTGTATTTTAGCACTAGGCCACATCTGTCCTGCAAGTTTACCTCTGCGTGCCTGACAAAGAGGGCCTTTAAGGACTGCACTGTGCCTCAGGTGATCACTGTTCTTGTGTGGCATCCCACTGCCCATAAATAAAACACCCACACTATTAATTAATGTTTCTGCCACAGCAGTAATCTGCTGCCAGCAATCTCACTGTGAGCAGTAAACAGTAAAACCACCTGAAATAGCTGAGAAGGAATTATTCAGTTTTCTTGGTTACATACCTAAATATTGACCTGTCTTCATATTGCCTGAGGCGCTAAATCAAGCCATTGTGCATGTTTTGTGGCAAAGTGCAAATGTATTGTTTCTTGAGGGGAGTCATTTATGTGGGTGTTTTATTTGCGGATACATGATAAGAAATTGTCTTGGACACTTATGTCTGTGGAATGGGGTGGGTGGCCTGTTTTGGTCTACCTTGTATGGGTGTGTGTGTGTGTTTCTGTCTGTCTGTGTCTGTTGGGACAATGGCATTATTGAGGTGCTGGGAGTCACAGGCGCCCTGATGCCTGGCCTGCTGGACGGGGGTTAGCAGAGGCACATTTGGCTGGATCAGGTGACCGCTCCGTCCCTTTCAAGTGTGGCTCCTCCACAGCGAAGCAAGTAACATGAATCTGGAGGCAATATAAGATGCTGGGCTGCCCTCTACCCCATCCTCCCTCACTCCACACAAAACCGTACAGGCTTGTAGGTATTGAGCATTAACTACTGCTCAATACTGCTCTATGCTGTGCAGACAGAACTGTGATCTCATTCCATTGTGCAGTCTCTTCAGGTTTGGGAATTCTCTTTTTAACCCTCAAATATTAAAACTGTGAACGGCCACGTTGACTCCTTCATCAGCCACAGCAGGAGTTACTTTATAAAAATCACTTTCTTAGGCCCTCACAGACCTAATTACTGTTTTAGACAAACAGATACACTGAATGGTATGTTACTAGCCACAGCCAAAATTAACTGACATTTAGCTGTTGGCTGGTATTAAGTTCCTGTCCTTGCAATGTGCATGCTGACTCATGACATGAAGTCTGGTTTGTTAATGATGCTGTTTAGATTGCCGTTTGACAGTTCCCTGGCTGCAAAATGCATGCTCAATATGTCACGTTGACTCACTCACGACACATTCATTGACGCACGGCTAAAAATATTATGTTTGCCACCTGATTGAATTCAAGCCATTTCATATTTATGGATCAGACCACATGCAAACGATCACAGTGTGTGGTAACAGGAAAAGATGACAGGGGTTTGATGTAAGAGAACATCTCTTTCTGTGGGACCTCCAATTTTCCACTAACCTCCTAAATGGTACTAAAAGCCACAAATATGTGTGAACGCTTAAAGTCAATCCAGCAAACTGGCAACAAGCAAGTCTGGTCAGGTTCATACAGGTTGGCATTTTTTTATACTAAAGTCAGACCAATTAACCATCCCACCTCCCACCTGCCAATAAACAGAAACATAGAACAACATGTGCCAGTGGACACTTTGATCAGGAGGGTTCCTCATTCATTTCTCCTCACTAAAATGGAAAACCCTCCTCAATAATAAATGATAATAAAAAATAATAAAAAATATTGAGCCATTTGTACATATTGATCAGTTTTAAACTGGCTATGTGGAGTCCTTTTCTTGAATTTAAAACTGCAGCATTTTCATATGAACTTCCTGAACTTCCTGAACAAATTTAACAAATAAGCATTTATGTATGTCATCATTATTTATAAATATTATTACAAGCCCATTAATGTCCACACTGAAGAGTAAAACTCCACAGAAGACACTGAAATCTTTGTTTGCTTTGTTTGACTTCAAAAGAGACCTTTCCTGCGTCCGTTTTTTATATGCAGTTATCATTTTCAAGGTTGCAACGGGCTGGAGCACATCCCAGCATGCACTGTGTGAGACTCAGGTTGCAAAATAAACTGGTCGCTAATTTATAAATGGGTTAATGCACGCAGACTATTTAGACTTTACATTCCTTACCTCCTCTGTCTGTTGTCCAGCGAAGGCCAGCAGGTAGTTTTCAGGGCTCGTCTCCAGCATGGAGCACTGGCAGAATCCAACACTGCCGGTCCACACAGAGTCCACCACCTCACTGCGACCTTGGCTCAGATCCCACAGACAGATCTGCATGTCCCGTCCCTGACTGCTCCACCAACGAACAAAAATCTTTTTTAGTTTTTTATTTAATAGTCTTATTATTAGCATATTTAAAAACCTGAGTGACAATATATTTGACTATTAAATTATTTAATCACCACAGGTTGGTTAGTCACTGAAAAGCTTAGTTAAAGAGAAAACCCTAAATTCCATACTTAGCATACACTTAAATAATATTTTGCATTCACAAATGATCTAACAGCAACAGCAAGAGAAGGATGAGTATGTTATCAGAAAGTTAGGAGACCAAGAGAACAGCCATCCTCACCTGATGAGGGTATCTCTAGCCTGCACTGTGCTGACCCAGATGACCGAGCTTCCAGAATGACCCTCCAGAATCCTCTCAGGCCTCCTGGTGTTCAGGTTCCAGATATGGATGGCACCCTTCCCTGACCTGCAAAACCCAGCATGATGCTTTATGAAGGCTGTTTATATTATTCATGCAGTATAGTCAACAGTGTTCTGCACCCAAATGTATGAACATATTTCCTTTTGTCCAAACTCACAAATACTTAAATAACACTGAAGCTTTTGGTGTGTGGTGCTTTAACAGCTGGCCTGCAAACTCTGTACTGTTTTAAAAATTGAAGTGCATTCTAATTGGTTGGCTTGGTATCTACTTCTGACATGCAGTATAGCAGCCATGATGGACAAAACGAAGCACTAAATTGTGTGTGAAATCTCCTAAAATACTACCAACAAAAAGAGGAAGAAAAAAAAAACTTCACTGGGGAGGACGAAGAGTCCAAATTCTAAATGTTGAGATAAATGACTCACCCAGAAAATAGGAGGGGAGTGTCCCCTCCATGGCAGCTAAAGTGGAGGGTGTTGAGGGGCCCGCCAGCCCCCCTCAGGGTGTAGATGGGAGACGGAGCAGGACGAGACATCCCTGGGTCGTGCAATCAATGTAAGGACGCAAGGAGGCCGCGAGCACATGTCACGACACCCACTGAAACAGACAACAAGAAAAAGTGAGCTAAGTGGCAACTGCAGTTTGAGCTCCAGTCAGTACTTTGCCAACAAAAACTTTAAACAATACTGTGCCGCTTTTTCAGCATAAATGAGAAAAAACTTCCATTCAAATCAGGTGAATTGGACTCTTTCAGGGGAATACAATAAGATAAAAGTGCAGCCTAAAATCCAAAATCAACTCATTTTGTTTTTGCACAAACACTGAGAGGAGACTGTCAGAAAGTAGCTCCATTTTGCCTTGAAGCCCTTCACTTCCACACAGCAGACAGTTGTGTTTAATGGACTGTCTGTACTTTCTCTATTGTTAGTAGCTACAAACCCTTTGGCTCTCTCTCTCTCTCTCGCTGCGTCTTCCTGCTCCTAGTCTACATGATAACACCTCTCTTACTCAATACGTCATAAATCACAAGCCCTGACAGCTTAATTACAGTAAACAGTCGGAGATTCAGGATTCTCACTGTTCTTGTGATCAACAGCCGTTGTCCCAGAGGCATTTATTCAGGCTTTTATGTCGTTTGTATGCCGGGCAGATGAGGAAACCCAACCGACCACAAGTATGCTGCAAGGAAATGATTCCTCAACATTAAACTGCAGCACAATCACATGTAAGTGACTTCAGGTAGCTCATATCCATCTATCAGTCCATTTTCTAAAACGCCTATTATGTTTAGAATCACAGGTGCCCTGAACCTGTTCATGCAAAAAGTGACTGACAGTGTATTCAAATTAGAACAGTTATTACCCAGAAAGCATGGTATTTTTTGAGTATTTATGATAGTATTTATTTCTCTGCATGACACGAGGGCCTTTATATAGGCTTATAGAGGCTTAATCTACTATCATATGTACATATATGAATAATGTAACATTCAAAATAGTGAGATATTTCTCATATGTTCTATTGCATAAGAAATAAATCAGTGACAATGCTTGTTTCAGTTATGCAACAGTTTCTACCTGGTTATCTGCAATAACATGTTCACCCAGACACCTACACTACTACGCCAGAACAAATCCTAAATATGACTATTCCAAAAAGATCAAAGTCAGCCAAACCACACCACTAAAGGTTACAGAAGGGAAGTAGCTCACATGAACACAAAGGAACTTTGAGAGTTAAGTGAGGAGGAAACAGAGAAACAGCTAGCCTGTCTCTCTCTAAAAATCTACCTACCAGTACCTCTAAATCTAATTTGTTTATTCTGCACAATGCAGCGATGTTGCCAGGCAACTAGCAAGAGCCTCCAGGAAGTTAAAGCCCCTAGCCAAGAATAAGCACAGCACAGAAACCCCTGTAAAACCACCACAAACGAGACATAGTGTGTTTATAAGTGAGCTTCTATGTGGACATAGTCAGGCTTGCTGTTTCCCCGTTTTCTGTCTCTATGCTACGCTAAGCTAACTATCTCTTGAGTCAAGCTTCAAATAGAACAGATATGAAACAGGGTAGCTTTATGTTTTAGGTCAAGTTAATGAGCACAACCCCACAAACCACCAGCCCACACACACACACAATCACCCCGTCCTCCACTTTTACTTATCATAACCCTTGCTCCCTGCAATCAGCAGACGCTGAAACTGGAGCCAGAGGCATTCAGGAGCAACCCATTTCAGGAGGTTAGTGGTTAAATTGTCCATGTGAATCTGTGAAGCGGAGAAACAGAGACCCCTGACCAGCCTGCCTAATTAAGGACACAACACTGCAGTCTGATGGACCCGCAAGGAAACCCATCAGACCCATCGGCTTTACTATCAATTTACACACTGCATGCTTGGAAAATGGAGCACTTTTTAATGCTCCCTATAGAAAATATGACCAAAACCATATGCTTTATATTTGCCATGGTTCAAAGCATATAGCTGTTTGCATAATATACTGACCATCGGGTATCTCTCATCTCTGAACTAAGACAACAGGAAGCTCTTCGGCCTACAACTGTACAAACTTGTTTTTGTGTGGTATGAAGAAAATGGCAAAAACCGTCAACAGAGGTTTTGTGAGGGTCTATCAGTTAAGCTGCTCCTCCTGTGAATGAGTGGGTAAGACTGCATTCCTGAGCCAGAGTCCTGTGCCTGTGTGAGAGTGTGACAGAGTGAGCCTCACCCTGATAACAGGTGGATTAAGCGTCCCTTATTGTCCTCTTGCAGCAGGCCTGCATGGAGCTGTGAGTCACGGACACAGCAGCAGCCTCCAACTGGCTGCTGCCATTGTCTCAAGGCCAGCGGCGGAAAGGGACTCTCCAATGACAATCACAGCTCACTGTCAATCACAGACAAAAGTTGGGGACAGTGGCGTAGATGTCACTTGGGGACTGTAAAACCAAACTTGTATCTGAAAGATTAATATAATGGCCACTTTTTCTTTGCCACTGCTCCCTCGGTGGACTTTTCCTTCTTTTTTCCAGGCATCAGCATTTCCCCCTAACAATAGGTCCGTTGTGGTGGCTGCAAGTGAGTCACCCACAAACCCAAATACAAACAAGCAGGCTGCTCAGGAAGGGAGAGACAGACACTGAAAACAAACAAGACGGTGGTAGGGTGTCACTCAAATCTATTTGCAAGGACCCTCAAATTGTTCCTTGCTAACAGAGGGAGGCAAACAATCGAGCCGGTCACTTTTCAAGTCTGACAAGAAAACATCTCTAGTAAATGCAAAGCTACCTTGGCTCTGGTCAAATACCCTCAAGGACAAGTAACTAGTTACATGAAATTGTCTCTACCAAGCAGTTTTAATGAACCTAAGAGGCTTCCATAAAGTGATTGAGCAATAGATAAATACCCAAATAGGTCGGGGGAACTTTCTTATTAAACTTGTCCACAGACATTACAGAACGGGGTAAGGTCTAATTAAACTTGTGTGTGGTGGACAGGGCATAATAAATCAGATTGACTGATTAATATACCTGAGCTGGATATGGGAGCCAGTGGGAAGAGGCAGGAGAGGAAGATTGAGGCTCCTGTTGGCCCTGTAACAGATAAGACAGCTCTGGGGTAATCTGACTCTAAGTCCATGGATAAAGGCAGTTTGTCTCTTCTTGGGCCGTCTGTCCACACCTACTGGGTAATTAGGCCTAATTATGAGAGAAAGGTCCGCTTCCCCTTCATGTTATTAAATAAGAGCCAGCCTCGTCCGCCAAGGATCTCTCAACACCAGCAAGGGGCTGGCGACCTTCAGATCAAACGCAGCCACTATCTGTGCCCCCCCACCCCACCCCTTCGACTGCAGCACCCATTCCTCTCCTCAGCATACAGCTGCGCATATGAGGCGGGCTTTAGAGGCGTGGCCCGCAAATGGGGAGAGTAGCAAGATCGAGGTACATGGGGCATCAACCAGTTTTTTTTGGTGGCGGCGAAGGGAGAGGGGGGCCCTGTTTTCACGCATTCCTTGCTAGGGCTCTTTAATGCTAGCATATCATTGTGATCGCCAGCTACCCCACCTGAACTGCCACCCTTGTCAAAATTTCTTGCCATTACAATAAAACAAAAGAAGCAGAGACATAGGAGTGGTGGTGAACAGAGAAGGTCGTGGTACTCCCCCGGGGCGCTGGGAGAGAGGGGGGGGGCAGGGGCCACAACAGGTTATACTGATCCACTTAGGAGGTTTATATACAAGAAGCTTTAATAATAGCCCCAGCATATCAACAGGAGCCATTCATGGAAACCGGCATGGGATCCCAAGATCCAGTGCTAATATCAGCCATACGTCAAAATATCGGAGATCTGAGCTGCCATGATGAAAACTGAAATAGAACTCTCACTACACAATAACTCAAAAGTACACTCTCCCTAGATCAGGCCTACCCATGAAAAAGCCAATACGTATTAGAACCTTTAAACCAATAAACTACTTCTTATTCTTCACACGAGAACAAGAACCTAACATCCATCCAATTCCTAGACTACATCATACCCCAGCTATTATCATTCTGGCTGGTTTAACATCGCATGCAATGGATCTTATCTGCCGTTTCACCTGCGCTTTTCGCCCGTTCTCGCGCCAAGGAGGGCATTCCACCCTAGAGACTGGTCATGTATAAGATGTGGTGAGCTGGGCTCCCAATCATAAATCATTTAGTTCAGGCCCTTTTTTTTCACCAAGCCTCACACCACAAGACATAAAAAATACAGATCCTCTGAGGAGGAAGCCACAACACTCGCCAACCGAATTAGAGAGCGAGCTCCATTTATAAAAGTCCAGTTACACAAACAACATTGGGAAGTGGCGAGGAAGACACACCCCGTTTATTGTGTCTTCGGTGGGGTTATCTGGACTGGATAAACAGTTCCAGCGCAATAGAGGCTGAAGTCAGACACAAGTGCACCAAACACCCACTGTCAGTCACAGATCCAATGAGTGGGAAGAGGTGGCACTTCTGTTCGTCCAGTGAAAATGGCCAAAAGCTGAATGCTAAAGCACAGGGTCCATTGCAGAAATAAGGGATTAAAATGCCTTTGTGGGTGTCATTGAGCGCACGGCAACTGATGAGCACTAGTCAGAGGGTCCTGTTATTACACGAAGAAACGTCGACTGGACGAGTCTCACCAAAAAAACCGGTACCAGCGAGCCCTTATCTGTTTAGCACTATACACCCAATTTCCTCCACTGAACGTCATATTACCTTGGGAAACACTAAGAGGATAAAGGGACACAAGAGGGGTCGACACGCTCAAGTGTCAGTCTCTCCACGACGTTCAAACCGGTACCATAGGGTGTGATGGGTTTGGTATTATAGGGATTTTGCTGTTTTATACAGCGAAAAGATATATGAAAACAGGTCACTCTTGTTATATAATGCATAAATATCCAATATGAACATCAAGCAAGAAAGGGGATAAAGAACACAGAACAACCAAAATGATGTTACACTTTGGTCAAACAGCAACAACCACCAGGTTCTAACAACACATGCTCAGTCATCCTCAACACCGGTGCTGGACCCCATAACACTGTGATGAGTGATCTGCATGAACAGACAT